GAACTGGTGGCACTGGTCTGAACTGGGGGCATTGGGCTGTGCCGGGGCCGGCCCTGTGGGTACGAAGCGCTCGGGCTGCCCCGGGCCGTGAGGCGCTGGGTCCGGCCGCGCTCTGCCCGCAGCCGGGAGGCTCCGCATCGCCGGCCCGGCCCCTCACGGCCTCTCCGCTCCCCCCCGGCGCCGGCGGCCGGGCCGTGCGGCGGCGGAAGCGGAAGGCGCGGCGGCGGGGCCCTTCCTGCGGGCCGGGCCGGGATGGGCGAGAGCACCAGCCCCATCAGCGTGATCCTGGTGAGCTCGGGCAGCCGCGGCAACAAGCTGCTGTTCCGCTTCCCGTTCCAGCGCGGCGCCGAGCACCCCGCCGCGCAGGACAGTAAGTGCGCGATGCCGCGGGGACCGGCCCGGGGGTGCGGCTGCACCTGCCCCGCGCCCCAAGGAGCCTCCGCCGGGGCCGCTGCCGCGCCGGGGGGCTTGGCATCCTCCCCGTGGGGGCTGGTGCTCCACACGCAGCACTCACAGCCCTCTTGGGGTCTGGCACCTCCCCCACAGCCCTCAGACTGGCCGTGGGGACCTGGCATCCCACACACCCCCCTCACACTGTCTGTGGGCACTTGACTCCCACCCCCCCACCACTGTCTATGGGGACCTGGCACCCCACACATCCCCCTCACACTGTCTGGGTGTACCTGACTCCCACCCACACACCCCTCGCACTGTCTGCGGGTACCTGGCACCCCTCACATCGTGTATGGGGACCTGGCACCCCTCACATACCCACCCTCCGTGGGGGTCTGTGTATACCTGGCACCTCCACCACAGACCCCTCAGACCGTCGCTGTGTACCTGGCACCCCTCACACCTCACACTGTCTGTGGGTACCTGATACCCCACACACCCCTCACACTGTCTACAGGGACCTGGCATCCCTCAGACTGTCTGTGTGTACCTGACACCCCCCCCAAACACCTCACACTGCCCATGAGGACCTGGCATCCTTCACCCACCCTCCATGGGGGCCTGGCACCCCTCAAACACCCCTCATACCCCCGAGAATGCCCTGACACTCCTCACACCACCCCTCCTGGGAGTCTGGTACCCCTCAAACACCTCCAGGTTCCCAGGCACCCCTCACACCCCAGGTTATTGAGCCAATTAGTGCCAGGTGTTATTATCAACCCTGGGCCTTGTTGCTGTTCCTGAGGTGGATGAATCCCATGGGGTTTGGGAGCTGCAGGGGAAGGAGGAGGCAGGGTGAGAAGTGAAGGCACTGATTAGGGAGAGAGGGTTCAGAAGACACCTTGAGCTTTAACCAATAATGAATAGAAACTATTTAACTTTAGTCCCTTGTGTTGAATAATGAACTGGAGGAGGTTTAATTTTCTCCAGAAAAACAGGACCATGGAACTGTTTGGATGCCAGCATTGGTTGTGCCTCTTCCTCCAAGGCTCCTGATCCAGGACAGTGCCTGGGGCTGGTCTTGGATTAGTGTCAGTGCTGGGCCTAAAGGTGTTGTGGAATGATGAGGCTGTTTGACTTTGGTCCTGTGCTGACTGCTGTGTGTTGTGAGAGGTTTGGCACCCCTGCTTGGGTTGTGAGTCACTTTTTACCAGGAGAGAATCGTCTTTAAATCCCTTTTCATTTTTATAGGTAAAATCTGAAAAGATTTTTTTGGGCTGACTGCTTCCCTCACACCCCACTCCTGCTTTTTGTTGGTAAAGGATTTCCCCTCCTCTGACTGCACTTCTGTAGCATTACCATTGTCCCAAAACCTGGGCAATAATGAGGGAAATACAGTGGTCAGAATTCCACTTTCCAGTCTCTTGAAGTGTCAATTTCTGTAAATGTTTTACTTTCTCCTCTTCATCCCCTGAAGAGTAAAAAACCTGTTTCTCCTATTTTTTAATGTGTTTTTGAGTGAGAATAGAAAAACACACAATCACACTTATTTAAGGAGATATTTCCTTGATAAACTTATCTTTATCCTTTGCTTCAGACAAACCAAGGAGTCGATACGCTGTGAATGGCTCTGGTGACACCACAGAAGATCAAGATGGGGACTCCAGGTAGGGGGAAAACATTTCTCCTTGCCTAAGAGCTTGAAACAGAGGAGAGGTGGCCTCCTGCTCTCTTGCCTCCTAGTTTCTAGGCACGTTCTCTCTGACTGTACAGAAGACAACTGGCCCAAAAATGCTTTAACACCAAGTTGTGAGCAACTTGGTGCTTAGTAATGAATCTCATGAGGGAATGCTACTGAATCTGTTGTTTTCAGGACAAGGTAGAGGTCAGGTATTTTGTGCTTATTAGAAAGGCAGTACTATCCTTTCAAAACTAGGAGTATTAATCCTTTGGCAAAATTCCACTTTTCTTTACCTGCCTACCTCTAACTGGACATATTATTCAGTTGCCTCAAATTCTTCCCTAGCTTGTGTAATTGTTGTATGGAATTGCTGTGCACTAATGAACAACTAATTTTGTTCCTCCAGATATAGCTGCCGTTGTGTCAGTGACATAGGAAAAGGAAACTGAGACTTAAAGATAGTTTTTTAATTACAGGAAATCACTGGGTAACATTTGCACTGAAAGTAGGCAGTGTGCTGTTCAGCATGTATGTACGTATGGATGGACCCTCTAATTAGTTTTGGTAGAACATTTGAAATCTGCTGCATAGTTCTAAATTTATTACTACTAGATATGAGATAAATCTGGGAGAGAAAAAGTGTTCTTTTGTCTGTTGGCCCATAGTTCAGTTGCAGATTTTTTTTGTGATTCGTGTTTTAATCTCCAAGATTAATAAAAGGGGGCAGTTGCTGATCTTCACTCAGAGTACAAAAGAAGTAATCATCACTTTTCCCCCAAAAAGAAAAGTAAGCTTGTTCTTAACTTTATGGCTGAGAATGGTGTAGCTGAGAATGGTGTAGCTGAAATGAAAATCACCTATGACAATAAGCATCATCGATTCATTTGGTTTTCCAGGACTGGAGTCTTAATGAAAATACATTTTGCTTGAGGTCATTTGTGTCTCCTGCCTTTTCTGGTGCCTTTGAAACCTTCAAATACAGTCTTTTGGTGCATGTCCAGTGAGTGCAGTACAAACAGGGCACAACTCCAGTGGGAGTATGTTTGGGAACTGGTGAATGGTGTCTCACACTGGGCTGTGGGTGGCAGGAAAGCTCAGTGCACTGCTTATCCCAGGGATTTTGTTGGTTGCTGTTTGAACCCCTGGCTCTGGTGTTTCCCTAAAATAGATTAAGATGGTGTTGGAATGATGCCAACTTGTGTCTAATACTGATTCTTGTGGCCTCTGCCATTTTGGCAGGTTGGACCAAGCACTTAATATGTAGCTGTTTGTTGGATGTTGCCTGTGTTGCTGAATTAGTGTGATACAATATGTGGTTACTGCAGTGATGTAGGAAAAGCTTTTATCCCTTCAAATGATGAGAAAACTGCCACTGTTTTCCTGAAACTGGTTTTAAATAGAGTGAATGTGGTGGGACATAACCTATGTTAAACAAATACTTAGATTATTTCATTGTAGTGGTGTCCGGGACCCAGGGCTTGAAAGTTTGTGCTTAATCTCCTGGTCAGGTATTTGTTACTAAACTTTCAGTGTTTAAAAGAATTTATTTGGATCTGTCTGTATCTGCCAGGCACATGAAGGGGAAATAGAAGAGGAGCAGCATTTCTGTTGCTCTGAAAATGTTGGTTCTTCTAGAGGGGTCCAGCACACAACTTGTGCTGCTTTCTAAAATTCAAAGTCTCTTGCAAAATCCTGTTTGTTTCCAGTTGGTTGATTGAAAAGCTGTTAATTTGTATTAGACAAGGTTTTTTGGCAAACTTAATGTCTTTCACTGACTGATACAGGTGGAAAAAATATTCAGGTTTTAGGTACACAGATGCTTCTTCTGGCAGAAAACAAAAACATGTCTTCAAAACTGTGTGCAACAGATTGCTGAGAGTCTGATTTGTATCAGACCATTTTAGGAGTAACAGAAGTTGGTGCCTTGTAGGAGAAGAGATTCTGAGGGGACAGTGGAGGCAAAAGGTGCAGATCCCCTGTGGAGAGTGAGGTGCCTGTGATTTGTAAACTAGGGAAGGAAAGGAGTTTTGTATTATTTTTGGAAGGAAGAGTTGGAAAAAGGTTCCTTTAAATCAGTGCATGTCAGTAGCATCTGTGGATGTTTTTGGTGGCACAAACTGAGGCTGTGGAGTGGGCAGACTGGTAGGTTGAGTTGGTGCTGGATGGCAAGATGGATAATGTTGTAGGGTTGGGTCTTTCTCATGTTTTCATGTTTAGTAGCAAATGTTATTTCAGATTTATCTTGTAGCTCTAGTAGTTCTTATGAGGTCGGGATTAATCCTTTTTTATACTGAATGGCTGTATTTAATTTTTTAGCAATCTAGCACAGATTGTATTCTAGGTGAGGTTTGCTATTGCTTTTTGCCTGAGCTATCAATTATTCCTGAGCTGACCTTTCCTTCAGTGGTTGAGGTGTATATATTTCTTTAGGGCCTCAGAAAGGACAACATTAGATCAGTTTATGTGCTTTAACTCCATTTCCATATAACATATTTGTATACATAATTGGATTTCTTTTAACGTCCAGTCTCAATTTCCTGGTCATTGTTATGCTTTTTGATTTTTTTTTTTAATAGACAATGGCAGCTCATTCATGATAATCCTCCCTCCACGTTACTCATGTGTGTTTGTTTGTATTAAATTCTGCCAATGGAGCTGTACTGGGTCTTCAGAATATAGATTTTACTTCCTGTTAAAAGCAAGTTGAGCAGCAAAAGTGGTTGAGGTGTGTGGATGGTGGCCATGCAACAAAAAGGTATTGAGAAGACTGTTACTGTCAAAACAAATTTCCTGTCAAGTGTCTCTCTTTGTTGGCTCCTTCTCAGCCTTTCATCATTTGCTCTTTTTAAAAACATCCTTCACTTTTCTGAGTGCTTTTCCAGGAATACACCCCCCCCATAGCTTATGGAGATGCCTGCCAGCCTTTTTTTTTTTTCCCCCTGAAAAAACATGTGAGGCAATTACTCCTTTTGAAGCCGTAAGATAATGCTTTATTAAATTGGTTTGAAACGGTTCTTGTAGCTTTTCTGAAGGTGGTGTAGTCAGCAAGCAAAAATTCTAATGAAGAGACACGTATAGTAACATATGTTACACCAGACTCTGCATTTCTAGTGCCATAACTGTCTAACTGGAGGACGTTTAGCAAATTTGGCAGCACTGATGTCATTAATTGGCTTCTGTTAGAAAAAACCCAAGTTAGTGACAAACAAGGATTTGACTGTCCCTTCCTAACAAACAGTAGTTCTCCTGTGATAACATTTCTGTCTCCTCTGTCCCTCTTTCACTGGACTCCAGTGTTCTTCCTTGTGTTTGTTCTGAAAGGCTTCCTTTCTGTGAGCCTGTGCTTTTCCATTCGTCCCCCCATCCCTTGAAACACCCTTCCTGTAATATCACCGCCTTTGTGGAGTTTGTCATTTAGGTTCTCTGAGTTCTCCTTTCAGCGTGACCAGCAGAAATCTGCTGTATTTTGTGTTAAATAAATGTTGGAGGTTTGCATTTTATCTCTCCTTTTTAATATGGACAGTATAAAGCTTTTATCAGATTAATTTTTCAGTATATGTAGGAAATCTGTTTCAGGAAGCAAGTCCTTTTGTATCTTGTTAGCTGGGGGGAGGGAGAAAGCAGTTGACTGTTAAAATGGGAACAGGTATTTCTGATATAAAAGTGAGCACAGCTGCTTACAGAGCCCTGCTCTGTGCACCTGTTATAAGGAAGGGTTTTGGATTCCTTGCCTTGAAAACTTCTTCTCTCTAAGTTTGTACTTATTGCCTGGGGCAGACAGAGAATGACTTCACGTGTGCTGCAAGTCTGGCCAGACCTGTACCTGCTGTGTGGATCCCTGGGGGAGCAGCAGTGGTTCTGTGGGCCAGGGCCTTTAAAAACCCTGCAACAATAAACACTGGGCATCTTCTTTTCCTAAGTCTTGTGGGTATGGAAGCACCAGAATGAGTTGGGAAAAGCTGTAGATCATTTGGAGCTGCATGGGATGTCTTGGGTGAAAATGATAGGAATAAACTGAAGTTTAGGATCTGCTCTAAATCAGACTGTGACCTCTCCTGTTTCTCTTAAGGTAAGCATGAGTTAAAAAGGGTGGTGCAAATCCAGCTCCATAAATGCAGTGTTTTGTGGGAAAACACGTTGCAGCAGCCAGTGTTTACTGCAAGGACTACATTGCCTTAGCCTGTTTTCTCCGTGTTGTCAATCTAAGCCTGCAATATATCCCTGGAATTCACCTTCCATTAACTTTTGACTCTTCTCAACAATTATATTTCCTTTACAGGAGTTTAACCCTTTAATAGTTCATCCTAGTTTTTAATATTATCTCTTTTTTTTTCTTTTGTATTTTGTGTACTTGCCTCGTTTATTTTCTTTTGTTGTGTTTTGTTTTGTGTTTATGGCCATGTTCCCATTTCAGAGACCAATGTCCTCTAACTGATGAGCAATTGGTTTCGGGGTAAGACCAAACGTTCTAAACAATCACCTTTGTCTAGAATGGCTTTCCTTTCTCACCATCCTTTTAATTGTGCTTTGTTTCTGGTTTCTGTTTTACACCGAATGATGAGATAATTATATGCTAAATCACAGTGTCTGTAGGAAATGTATTGCTAAAGGTTTGTGCCAAGATAATTACAAAGGTCCTACTAACATTTCTGTGCTTCCTGTAGGGAATCCAGGATGGGTGTGGTACTGTCCCTTCTGTGAACTGGGAAAAGCTGTGAGAATGCAACAAATAAAGCCTTGGCATTGTAGTCATTCCAGCAAGGAGCCCTAACCCTAATTGCATTCTGATAAGCAATGACTTAAAAGCACAGATCAGTGAACAAACGATTTAATCCCAGAGTAATGGTGGAGAGCTCTTCAGAGACCTGGGTTTGAGCAGCTGTGCTGGTTGCTTGCTCTTGGTGCCCCACTAAGCTAAATGGGATGTGAGGTAAAAGTGCCCAACTACCCAGGGCCCCAGAAGTCAAAAATGCATCTCTAGTCGTTGCTTAACATCTCATAAACCTCACCTGGATACTCATGTCCACTTCTAAACTCCTTCAAAGAAGAATTTTTTATAAAAACCTTGCTTTGAATTCCTGTGGCACATAAAAAGTTATTATCTGTTCTTGGGGGCAAAAATGAATTTGTGTTTGAGGTTTTCCACCCCCCCCTCCTTTTCCATGTGCTGTTGCTAGGTTGAGCTCGTGATAGGAGTGGTAGGATATTTTGGGCAAAGCAAAGCTTTTGTTTATTGTATTTACTTTCTGCCTGCTGAATTCCTTAGTACAGGAGAATTTTGCTTCCCTCTGGAATTCACAATGCTCAGACTAATCTCATAAAAGGAGAAGGGACCGTTACTGCCCAATTGCAAAACTTAATCTGCTTCTAACAAACTCCTGGGCTCTGATAAGTCAGTATTTTTAGGCCTTCTTAATAAACTCGAGAGATTGGAAAATGAGTCTTAAAATATTTAAAGTAAAAGTGTTATTTTCTAAGACGAGATGATGAATTGAGATGATGGGAATAACATATCTGCTGTCCCTCAATCTCCCTATTGTCCTGAGAAATGTCTAAATTATGTAGAGCATTGGGGGGAAAAACCCAAACCAGCCAAACCAATAAATCCAGGCTGTCAGAGGAGGAGTATGGGGCTGGAGTCCAGGTGACTCTTGGGAGAGCCAGCGGTGATTCCAGGTGTCTGTACCCATCAGGGAGCACCTATCTCAGGGTTATCTGTCCTGAGTGTGTCATCTGGCTGCAGTTCCAGCACTCTCCCAGACAGAGAAGTCCCTTCTAGTGAGAAGATACTGAAGACTTGCCAAAATCACCCTTTTAATCTCCTCCTCCCCTCAGAGTCCTGTACAAGGTAGGGCAGGCAGGGCTTTGGTGTCCTGAGCTCTCCTGGGGAACTGCTGAGCTCTTACCTTCAGCACCACAGTTTATCTGTTAAAAGATCTGCTGGTGTAATTCCTTGTAAAAGTCATCATCATGATCAGTTTTCCAGCTCCCAAGGTATCCTTTGCCAAGGCTGGAGGAGGGAAGGGGAACTCATTTCTTACCAGCAAGCCGACATTTTCTAGTTTGCCCCCCTTTTCCCTTCACCCCCCAAACATATGCTGATTTTGGATCCATTTTATTATCATCTTCCTGGCTCCATGACAAGCCTATTTTAACAGCTGAACAGGGCAAAAAGAGGAGGAAAAGCTCATTGCTGTCATGGGGACTTTTTCCTATTTTGAGTGTGATCTCCAGGGACTGTCACTCCAGGTTTATTCCCGAACTTCTTGAGCTGTGCAGCCCAGTGCAGTGGCTGAGGAGTGTGGGCTCTGGAGTCTCTGACTAGTCTCCCCATGTCTCTGCTTGTCCTTAGGTTGGAATTTGGAGCAGGGCAGTCAGGGATTTGGAAGTTTGTACACAGCTGCTCCTTCCATAAGCCAAAGGTGAGCAGCGTGCTGTGGTCAGGGGGAGCTGTTTGTACAAACACCAGAGGCTTTGACAGTTTATAAAGTCCCTGTGTGGTCCTTCATCTCCAGTACTTGTAGGTCTAATAAAAGAAATTTCCCCTGGGTCCCACTAAAGACCTGGCTGTGTGCATTTGTCTTAATTTCTGTAGTACTCCATAACTCAGAGAGAAGCAGGAATATGGTGTATTAATTCCTTCTCTGGGCATTGAGGGCTCACTTGTGGCCAAGAGATAAGGTGATTGCAGCACACACCCATGCCTGCCCTCTTCTCTGAGTGATACTGGGTTATCAGGGATACCTGCCTGCTGGAGGGGGATGGTCTGCCAGGGGCACACGTCCCAGAATGTAAATAAAGGAGATGAAATAAACATTTTCATTCTTAAAAAAAGGACTCTGGTCAGAAATTGCTTTGAAATTCATTTGGTTAAATGGGAACCTCTGGGAAAATCAGATGAGGAAAGAACTTGTTAATAACAAGCCATGCACTGCTCCTGTTATATAGAGCAACAATTTTACTCCACCAGCTGAGGTTCTCTTCCCTGTGGATTTGAGCTTCACTGTCTCAGGGACACCCTGAGGAAAACAAGTGTGTGTAGAGACCAGACCAGTGTTGTGACGCCATCAGGAAGAGCAGTTGCAGAGTTCTTCCCTTGTCACACTGGGTTCTTACCCATTTTTGCAGCAGTAGCTGTATTTTCCAGGGCAGACTCCTTGTAGGTACTTGCCTTCTTGCCACCACTGATCCAGTAACACCACGGTTGGTGTTGGGAAGGGCCTGCCCTGCCATGAATTTGATTTATCAAATGAGAAAGCCCAGGTGAGGCCAGGCCAGGTCTGCTGACCACAGATCACCTGTTAAGTGAGAAACTCGGGATCTCACTGGTGAACTTTGGGAAAGGAAGGACAAGCGTTGGCTGTATGTTTCCTCTAATTGAATCAGCTTTTCTTGCCTTCCCCTCTGCCATACTGGGTGGCTTTTAAGATCTCTGTCGTGCTTGAGTGACAGGCTGTGTCAATATGTAGTTGCTTAGTAAGTTCATTAACCTGCAGCTAAATCCAGGCAATGGCTAACTCCAGCTGTTTTTATATTTAAGCGAACTGCCTCTAATCTTTCCAATGTATTTTGCCAAGCATGTAATTAAATAAGCATGACCCTGCAGTCTTTGTCGTGAATGCTTCCTGTTTTATAATTGTGATGATCTGAGAGATGTAATTTAGGGGTCCTTAATTTTACTTAATTGGTGGTACTCCAGGTACAGCAATTTACTTACAATTTACAACACCTTATAAGCTTCTGAGTTAAATATATCAGTGTTTGGAGGAGTGTTCTGGGGGTGTGCTTTTTGAAAATTGTAATAACTTCTGTTTCTGCTCTTCAAGGTTTTCAGATGTCATCCTGGCAACAATTCTGGCCACCAAGTCAGATATGTGTGGCAAAAAGTTCGAGCTGAAGATCGATAACGTTCGCTTCGTTGGCCATCCCACCTTGCTCCAACACGCCCTCGGGCAGGTACGGTCCGAGCTCCCCTCTGGGGACCTTCCTTCCTCACAAACTGCCTGGCTTTAGGGAGGAAATTTGGAACTCAGAACGTGCCTGTTTCGCTTTTCATCCTGGTTTTACTTCCTGATGCTCCAAGCTGTCTTTTACTTACTCCCAGATAAATACGGTGAGTGGCAAACTGAGGGGGCTGTGTCAGTGGTTACAGAAACCCTCTTCTGCTTACTGTGGAAAACACTGTGAGTAAAGAGTAGTGATATGAAGCAGTCCAGCTCAAAAAGCTGTTTCTAACTATTTTAGTTACCGCAAGTTGGCTTTTTAGCACCTCTAATTAATATGGCAGTTAAAAATACACCACCCAAAACCTTTACAAATGCTAAAAGCTGCATCAGCCTTGTTTGGCTTTTAACTCTTCCTGAAGATGGTCCACAAGGCTCAGGCGGAATATGTAGGATGTTGAAAGAGGTCCAAAATTTTCTTGTGGACCAGGTCAGGCTGTTGTTTGTATTGAGACTTTGCTCCATGGCCTGTGTTTTACCTGCTTAGAATGAAAGCAGTTTGCCACCTAGGCTATTACAAAGGTCCTGCATAGATGCAGGAAAGAATTGATGTGATTCTGTGTGCCAGATATCCCCTGTCCTGTTCCTTCTGCCTGATCAACTGTAAGAATGAATTAGGCTTTAGTAATTTCTGAATCCAACACTGATCTCTGTCACTGAGCTGCTTTGGTCTCATTTTCCATCAAATTTGCTGTGTCATTCTTTTTTTCAGGAAAAAAAAGTCTGCTTGCCAATTCTGTTATGCATTCTAGCTATAATTAGAGGTAGAAACAGATTGTTAGTAACTGCTTCTTGATATTTAGAGGACCAGACTGCTTTAATCCCAGCAAGGAGCTGGCCTCAAGCCTCACAAGATGCAAGTGTTCCACTTTGAAACTCAGTTGTGAATCTACAGGAAATGTGATGGAGGATCACCAAGACTAAGTCCTGAAAAGTTTAAACTGTCTTGGAAGAGAGAATTGAAGTGTGTTCAAGGTGTGCAAGTCCACAGACCAGCAAGTGATAAACCAGGCCCAGGGTCTGTGCAGGGACCCCAGCCAGGGGCAGAAGGAGACAGGAGCAGAGATGGGGCTGGAGGACGGGGCTGCAGTGCTGAACCCTCCAGGAGACAGGCACATACATACAACAGATCCCAGCTCTATCCAGGAGACAGGCACATACAACAGATCCCAGCTCCATCCAGGAGACAGGCACACCTCTAGGCCCTGGGCTGAGCTTAAATGGGGCCCCCAGTTCATGGCCTAGGGAGTGTGTGGGGGGACCCAGCTGGGGCTGGTCAAGGCCATGAAGACGTTTTGGTGCCCTCAAGCCCTGACAGCAGTGGCCTGTTCTCCTTCAGATGAGTCTCCTTTATTTTACTGATCTCATCTGAAAGGCCCAACTTCCTAAATGTGGTGTAAATGAGGTTGAAAATTCATATTTGCATTTTTTCACCACATATTATACATTCTCTCCATTTTCCAGTCGTTTAATCCTTGTTGCATGAAATGTCACTTCATTTCAGTTTATCTAAGTAAATTAAATTAGGGTAAATAAACAAAGTTATAAAATGCTGTAAACACTTTTTTGTTACTTCTTGTAGGATCTTCTTTTTGGGTGTGTCTTATCAACCCTGGAGCACCCCAGAACTTTCTAGAGTCCAGAATCCTCTAGACCTGGCAGCCATCTCTGCTAGTTCATCTCAGCCTAAATCTGGGACCCTCCTGCAGTCAGGAGGAAGCTGGATGGAGGTTTTTTCCCATGGAACACAGGCAGCAACTAGTGTAACTTGGCAGCCTCTGCTTTGGGTTTCCTCAGAGTTTATTCTGCAGTAAATTAATCCATGGCACAGCTCAGCAAATTCTTACTCAGATGAGATTCAGGAGTTACAAGAGCACAAATACCTCCTCCTGTGTGCTGGACTGCCTTTTATGTAGCAATGTTTTGAATTCTTCAAATTCCTTCAGCATTTTCTTTTCCAGCTTAGTCTTTTCTTCTTTTGTGTTTTTTTTTTTTTTTTTGTTTGTTTGTTTTTTTTTTCTGGACAGGAGGTGATATGAAATCCACCCTGCATCCCAATTGATGTTAGTCCTGGTAGTTTCTTTGATTTTTAAGGAAGGAACAGGATCAGTCCTTACACTTGGAAATGCTTTTGTGTCTTTCCTGAAACTCACAAGGAACCTGTAACTCCAGAACAAATAAAACACAGTAAAGTGACTTTACCACCCATCACTGCCTCTTTGATAGAATGACATTTTCACTTTAGAAAAAAAACCAAACCAAAATATCTATCACCTCTTTCAGTTTTTCTTATTTTTGAGGCTTCAGAGATGAACTGAGCAGTTCATTGCCGGTGCTTGGGACCTGTTGGGAAGGGTGGGTGCAGCTGTGCCTTCACCAGCTTTTGCCCCATCTCAGGTGCTGCAGATAGGTCGGGACTGACCATTAGGTTAGTTGGGTGTTTGTCCTGGCAGGTTCCAGCTGTTTGCACTCGGGGTTGGGTTGAGCAGGGAGTTCCAGGGGAGGCAGGAATGTCCTCTGCATTTTGTGCTCCATCTTGTGGCGACACTTGCTCGATTCGCAGCCCTTGGTTCTGGATGTGCAAATTCCACTTGCCTGCCTTGGCTCCCACCCTTCCTCCTCACCAGAAGGTCTGAGCCTGCTTAGGGATGGAGCTCTCTGCTGCAGAGAGAAGGGAATGGCTGGAGAACGTGTTTGAAATCCTGCAGGAAAGGAAAATCAAACCTTATATTTTAGCACTGGTGTTCTAGAGCATATTTTTTTCTGGTAAAAGCAACAGCTTGTTACAGGATACAATTTGAATGATTTTAGGAAAGGAAAGAATAGGTGTGGCCTGGGATGAGAAATCCTGTGGACTTCTCTTTAGTTAACAATACGTATATGACAGTTGTGCTAAGGATGACCCTTATGATGCTAAAATGCAATAGCAAAGACACCAAGTAAGACTGCTGTCTTACTAATTTCCATTGTCATGACCAAAATGCTTTGGTTTAGGTCTTCACAGCTGCTCACAGTGTTGTAGAGTAAGTGTGACACTTTAATTAAAAAAAATCATAGTTTTATTTTTTACAAGTCAAATTTAATGATATTATTTGATTTGCCTGCTCTCTTAGCAAACTTATTATATAACTAAGGCTTTTCTTTCTTTTTAATTTCTTTCCCTTTGTTACTGTCTCCAGCTGACACTAACCTGTGGGATTTTTTAAAAAATGTTTTTCAGGTATCCAAAACTGATCCCTCACCAAAGAGAGAGATGCCCACTATGATTCTGTTCAACGTGGTGTTTGCACTAAGGGTAAGGACTATTTTCATTCTATCTGACAGTGTGATGTGCTTCAAATGTATGAGAGAGTGCAGCAGGCTCACATTCCAGTAATCTCTTGCAAAACATTCAGTTCCTGATTTTATTGGAATATTTTAATTTGAAACAACAAAACCTAAACACGTAGAATATGACACTAAGAACTGTGAAATTTTCCAGCCCAGTGGAAAACAATTTCGATTGTTTGCTTCAGGATATTTTCCAGAGATTTTGGTTTCAAATACCCAGAGTGTAAAGGCAGGAAAGCAGTTTGCAAAGCAGATCTGAACCCAGTTGCCAGTCCTGTGTGTGTCGTGTCTTCTGTCATGAGTGAGCTGCAATCTGCTATGATTTTGGTAGACCCTGCAGGTGAGCCCTGTCCCACTAAGCTGTAAAAGAGGACAGCCTGGGCCTGACCTGGATGTCAGGGGCTGCTCTCTGAGGGCTCTGCTGCTGCCCAGGGCAGGACCACATCCCCAGAGCTGCAGTAACAGGGTGCTGAGCCCTGTGACTCTGTGCAGCTCAGACCTGGGGGGTTGGTTCTGCTCCAGGGGCAGTGGCTCGTGCCTGGCCAGAGTCAGCCCCCTGCCATGGCCTTGGCCAACCCCAGCTTGCTCTATGCAGAGTCAGGAGCCTGCTCTGGCTCCCAGCAGCACTGTTTTGAGCCCTTACTCATGCTGTATGATACAGAGACACGTGCCTTTGCTCAGTGCCTCCAGGCTTGTTTTATAATTAATGGACAGTGTTTGAAAGCTGCCTCCTCTTAGCAGTGAGATCACTGTAAAGGGAGAGTGCCAGGGAGCAGCAGCTGAGCAGCTAAATGAGAAGAAGGTACAAATGAGGAATAAAGAGGTTTTGATGCTCTGCAGAAACCTGGAACAAATATGTAGTTTGTGCTTGGAATTTTTTTCAGGCCTACTCTGTTGACTAAATGTTGGTGTTAAGGGATCCTGGCACGGCTATTAGGTGGTATAAAGCCCTAGAAATTTCATTATGTTTGAGTATTATTTGATTTCTGAGCTCTGGCTTTCTCTTTCCAGCCCACTGGTTGTTTAAAAATAAAAGAGGAAGCTGGAATAGGTGTCTTTATGGAAATGGTTGATTTTCGCTCCACTGGATATAATGTCATGATTTAAAAGCCTCCAGCTCCTTTCTTGTGAAAGGACCTTTTTTTTTTTCCTCTTAGCACTAGTACCTTTTTTACCACTGGCTTTCCAGGGGTGAATAACATGGACATGGCCCCTATCCACTGTCTTGTCCTCAGCTGAGGAGCAGGTTTCACACAAGGCAATTATCCCAGCAATCAGTCTAAATCAAGCAAGAAATCATTCACTGAGCTCTGCAGGGGATCCAGTGGTTTTGTGCTTTGGGACACTCTTAGGTCAGGAAATGCTGAGTTTGCAGTTCAGGAGCTGATTTTACATTTCACACACCAGGAGATGTTGTTTTGGTGTATGGATGAAGCCCCATGCTCTGGCTGTAGGGAGGTGTGTTTAGATGCAGGTGCAAACACAAACATTCGTGCACACTGAGTCATGTGGCAGCAGAAAGGATGAAACCAATGCTCTTTCATTCCCCAGAACTGGGTGAAGTGCAGTGAAGACTTTATCTATCTCACATTTTTCCAGCATCTAATTTCTAGTGGTTCTAGGAAAACTTGCTTTTTTTTGCACTTCAGCTGTGTGATGTCATTGTGCGTGTGATGCAGCACTAAATCCATTTGCCAGATGAGACACTCTTACTCCACAGAGAGCAGTCGAGTTTCTAGAAAGTGCTGTGCAAGAAGCAAGGGGAAATTTTTTGCTAGGATGAAGTAGTGCAGCCCAGAGGGTGGGTGGGGGCCCTGTGAGATAAAGATGAGTGTCCATCTGCAGTGGGCAGACAGAGCAGGCAAAGACCCAAGTGCTATAATCAGCACTGACCCTGCTGTGTTTGAGCTTCAGGGTTACCAACGTGTCGTGACTCAGCAAGAATAGTGGAATCAAAAAAGTGATGAGTCATGGTTTGCTAGTTTACATGCCAGGGGATCATTTGCCAGAAGTTTAAATTCCTTTAAATGTCTTAACAAACATGAAGCAGCTGCTGACTCATGCTGGAGCCACCATTCCCCCCCCTCATCCCCCTTGGCAGCTGTACTTACATGATAGATTTTTCCAGGGACTTGCACGAATGTGGTGGGAGTAACAAGCCATATTTGTGAAATGTTTGGGAGTGGAAATCCAAATCCATTTGGATTTGGGATGAAATTGTTGGTCATGTGCTGGTAATTCTAACTTAGTTACTGCCTTGTCAGTCAGCAGGATAGGATAAACATCAGTGTAGCAACATGTGGGCTGTGTTATGGCACTGCAGCCCCCGTGCTCCCAGTGAGTTTAACTTGGATATTGGGATATTCTGCCTTTTCAAATGGCACACACTTCCTTTTCTCACTGTGTGAAATTGAGTCCTTTGCTCTCTGCTAGTAGAAGGCCCATTAACAACTGGAAAAATAAACCAGATAGGAGTATCATGCCCCAGGTGTGGTGTTCCTTTGATGCACACAGACAAGCTTAGAAATCCATGAGCCTTCCCGTTACATTTGGACATCTCTGAGCTTCAGCTTGGTTGCTGCTGGAGAAAATTTGTTTTTTGCCAGCAGCCAAAGAGGCTGACTTTTGATCTCAGTGGAAGCTCGTTGTTTAAGTACTTCTCCATCCCTGCAGTGCCATGGCTGTGGCTGTGGCTCAGTGTTTGTTCCCCCCAGGCCAACGCGGATCCGTCGGTGATAAACTGCCTGCACAACCTGTCCCGCAGGATCGCCATCGTCCTGCAGCACGAGGAGCGCCGCTGCCAGTACCTCACCAGGGAGGCCAAGCTCATCCTGGCCATCCAGGATGAGGTGTCTGCCATGTCAGAAAGTGAGTGCTGAGCTTTGGGCAGGAATGTGTCTGTCCAGGAGGGCTTCTTCAGAGAAGTGTTGATTGTGCCACCTTACTTTGGTGGCTGGGATCAGCATGGGCAAGTTGTGGTGCTCTTCAGCATTGACAGCTTTTGACTGCATTTTACCTCATCCAAGATCACTATCCTTATGCAGAGTTTAGAAGTGAAGTGTCTTCTTTGCTTTCCTTACAGCTCAGTTCAGCACAATCCCTGGAGACTGTGCACTGAGCCATTCCCTTTGGATCTGCCCGTCAGGCTGAGATGGATGAGCTCACATGGAACCTGCTTCACCCAACCTAGAGCAGGTTTTCCATGCTTTCATGCTGTGTGCTGAGTCACCAGGCTTCTTGTGTGGAAGCTTCACTCTTACATGTTGTTACCATGGCTAGCAAATAGTTACAGGCTTTTTATAGACTGTACTTCAGGAAAATGCACTATAATAACATGCACTGTTTAAGGTGATGTCTCTCTGACAGTGATGCATCATCTTGCTGCAAGCATTAAAAATTAAAATAACATCTATAAAAACAAAGCATTTAAAATCATCATTTGTCAAATTCACTGTTACATGTGCTTAACTGAGCTGAGGTTTAGGAGAAGTTGGCAATAATTCACTGTTATTATTTTAACATGTAACTTGAGTTATTCTAAAAGCTTTGAAAGATAACTGCAGATTAAAAAGAGATGATTTCTGTCCCTTAGATACTGGTTGATATCTGGTGGGGGAAGAGGAAATCAGTTGAAATGCTTTAAAATCAGTTGTTTGCTTTCTTGTTTTGAAATTTTCTATAGCCACAGAAGGGCCACAGTCACCTTTTCATCACATCCTACCCAAGTGCAAACTGGCCAGAGATCTCAAAGAGACATATGACAGGTAAGTGGGATTTTATTCCTAGCTCACAGTGTGCTGCTCCTCACTGAAACCTTCTGGCCTTGTTCCTTAGGATATTATCCACCTCCTCCTGCTGTTGACTCATTGGGATTTGAGTTTTACAGCAGGCAGAGCAATGTGAAGCCTAGCAGTCAGGTGAAATGTTTACAGAACTGCTGTTCTAATCATCACCTTGGTCTGTCTTTTATATCTTGTGGTTCCTCAAAGTTGGTGATGTCTGTCACAGCTTTAAGAATTATTATTTTCTTCCTTACCACGGAGGCACATAATGACAAGTGAACTGTAGAATTGAAAAGTGTCATAATATGGATATTATATCACTGGAGAAGTGCTCCAAAGCTGCAGCTGAGAGGAAAGTGCTGCACGAGCACCGATGGCAAGTCAGGTACTGCCCTGGCTTCATTTGGTTACACTGTACATGTCTGGACAGTGAATTTGGATCAGATGCTGAGACTTTCAGCAGAATGGAAAGTGTAACATGCTGTTTCTTGATAGGATCAGAAGCTCTGGCAAAGATTTCAAAGGAGTTGGTGTTGAACTTTGAGCAGGAGCCGAGTGGCTCCTTGGGTAGAGAGGCACCTCCACCCAGGATATGTGCTTGGGGAAGGGCCTTGACAAAGGGGCACAGAAGGCTTGGGTGGGCAGGAAGATGCTGTGCCCCTTGATTGGGGTGTTTGTCAGGGATTCAGAGAATTAGGCTGGAGCTCCTTAGGGCCCATGGAATAATATCAGACAACCCCTTTATCCTCCCTGGCTTGTGGCTCCCCTTGTACAAAGGGGATCACTGCAAACCCATGCAGGGTAAGGCACTGGGAGCCTAAAGAATTTAATGGTTGCAAAGCACATTACAAAACTAATAAATAAGCTGCTCTTTGTTATGTTTAAGAGCTATGAATTTCAGCTTGTTTGATGGAATGTGGTATATTGTTCCACACAACTCACACAAAACATGTACTAAAAGTTTAAAACCACTTTTTGTGTAGCCTGTGATTCTAATATTAAACTTACATTTTTCTGTCCCTCTAGGGCTATGTATTTGTGACAGGGCAAATTGTAGGGACAAATTTTAGGGACACAGTGACATCTTGTGGCATTTAGCTGTGACTGGAGCAACACAGAGCCCCAACTCATGGACTGTGCTGATATGACCTATGAGATAAGGAGGAACAGACTGGCCACAGAGAAGGACACTTTGGTACTGTCCCCCAGGTGTAAAATAAGGCAGTTTCTCCCTCATTTAGGCATTGTGAGTGGGGGAGAAGTAGTGCAAGTTAGATTTTGACACTTTTGTGTTGGTAAAAATATAAAGTGCTTGTGTGCTTTATTGTAAAGCTGTACTTGAAGAATAGCTAACAGTGTGATTGTCTGCTTGGGTGATAAGGTGGTGTTCTGCAGTGTTTTTCCATTAATATTTCCTATGAGAGAATTAGAAATGTGGTTATTACACCTGTATCAGATGAGTTGAGAGGAGCTGAAGCACCTTGCCAGGCAGGCATAGAATTAAATATTTTTTTTGGAAGGTAGAAGTGGTCTAGAAACAGGATTTTTTTCTGCAAGTCCAAGCTGAATTAATAATTTCTGTGTGGCAGCAGCTTTGGAGTGAAGTCTGTGTGGTCTTCTGTGAAATGAGGGTTAGTCATAAGTGACATGGGGTTACAGAAAAGGCAGATGGACAAGAATGCACAAAATAAAAGTCTTGTCTGTAAGATAGGAACCAACCCCACTGGGGATTGTAAAGCCCCTGCTTAATGAATAGTGTATCCAGTTTTGGAGACCACATTTCAAGAGGGATTTGGGCCACCTAGAGAGTGTGGAGGAGTGAGAATGACCTCAGAGGAGAGATAGAAAGATTTGGTCTGCTGATTTTAGAGGAGGAAGGACTGCTGGGAAGGTAAACCTTCAAACGCATGCAGTGACAATGTGCTGGTTTAATTGACAGAGACTTCTGGCATAGCCTTTGGCTGTAGGAGAACAGGGAGTGAGGTGGAGAGAGCACTTTGAATTGCAAATGGAGCCCAGCTTTCCATTGGAGATTTGCTCAAACCAGCATTTCCCAGTGCCTGCTGCTTTCTGCAATCCCAGCCCCGTTTCCAGGGCTGCTCCAGAGGAGCTGCCGAGCCCTTGGTTTCCTGTAGATGGTGCTGAGGTATTTCAGGCAAGACCCAACACGTTCCTGAGCAACTTGGTTTGTGCAAAACCACAAGTGTGAGAATCTTTTCGTGGTTCAGGATGCTCCTTGTGTTTTGAATGAAATGCCTGTGTTTTACAAGGCAGGATCAGTAGCCAGGACATCTTGACTGTAACGCTGTTGCTGCTCTAGAAATGGAGTGTTATTAAACTCACAGCTTAGAGGTAATCAACATCTAGTTCCTGGGACCTTTTTGGACTCTAATGGAGAGAACCAGAATGTTTTTTTTATCAGAAAATGGAAAGTCTTCGTTCATCTTGTCCCCAAACTCCAGCATTGGTGTGGAGAAACAAAAACAGTGGTTTTAGGCCCAAGAAACTCCAGTTGCCAACACTTCCAGCACTGACAAATTTACCAGTGTTAAAATGTGTCTCTTTTAAGCCACTGTTCAATCTAGGGAATCAAGACAGCTTTCACTAAGTTTTATCTGCAACTGCAGGTAATGTGTGAGCTTGATAATAGCTAACTGCCTGTCTGGTTTTAGCAAACTTCTCTTAGCTTCGGATGGGAATAAAATTGAAAGTTTGGATTATTTTTGGGGGGGGATTGAATTGTTTGCTTCTTCTTTTTAATACACAAAGAGCCTTTATACATTTTTAGTCTGGTGGGATATGAACTGACTGGTAGATCTAGCCTACCTCAGCAGCTCAGTGAGAACTGGAATAATTATATGAGATTTAATGAATTATTAGATGTAGCTGTACTGTAAAATAGCATCCAACTACAGTTATTTCATCAAAGCACAGTCCACGTGTCCTTTATAAGGAAATGTGAAATAATTTCAAAGTTACAACCTCTAGGAAAACCAAACTCCAAAGGTACAAGCTCCACCAAACTAGAAAACATACTCTTGATTTCTGATGTAAATAGAACAGACATAAAATGAGGGGTGTGTATGCAAAAATTCATAACTCCTCTATAAATTTAAAGTGAGATTGCTTTGTGTCACCAATAGTTATGAAAAAAGCTGCAATTCTCTGAGATAATGCTCAACTTTTGGGTTCCCATTTTGGGGCAGTGGCTCACAGTTGCAGTGGCTCACAGCTGCTGTTCAGGGCACAGCAGAGTAGAGCAAAAGAGCAGTGATATTCCCCCAAAATATTCCCCAGGGTCCTGCAGCTCTGGAGGGGATTTCTGTATATTGAACAGCTTTCAGCTGATCTCACTTCCCGGAATCAGCCCACAGTCCTGTGAGCCAGAGCAAATATTGAACCACCACAGCATCCCCTGATAAGGAGGTGCATGGCTTAACTAGTTTCTGTGTTTCTTTCTGTTTCTTCTGAACTTTGCTCCTTGTGTGTGTTGTGAGATGTCTCCTGGGTCTTATGATGGGGAGACATTAAACAGCCTTTTCCTATTTGCTTCTCCCTGTCTCAGTTTTAGTCTCTGATATCCCCCTCAGTATCCTGATCCATGTATCCCTCAGTATTGCTCATTGGGTATTATCTAACCAGATATTAAAAAGAAGTGTTGAAACTAAGTTTTCATGGAATAAAATGGAATGTCTTTGAGGGTTTAATAGCCAGTTAGAGTATGGGGAATTAAGCTATTTTTGCCCAGTTACTTTTAAAGTCTGTGGGGAAAAAGGAAACGTTGCAGGAGAGTCTCTGGATAGCAGTTAACTGGTAGAAACAGGAAAAAATCAGTATAGATAGAATGTAAAATATTGCCTGTCAGGCCAAACATAATGCTCTGAAAAGAGCTTTGGGAATTAACAGCTGATAATTCAGTGAACTGTCAACTCAGTGGAAAAGCTCAGGGTGCAGTAACACCGCAAAAAATCCTCACACAATGTGAAGACTCTGTAGGAAAGAATCAAGGAACAAAGGAGAGGCATCTGTAAATTCCTGGTGTGACTCCTACTGCACCTTGGAATCTTGGTGGGATTCTGGATTTTCTGTCAGGGGCCACTTCAGCTGTGTCCCTGAGGTTCAGGGTGTGTGGTGTTCTCACCTTCCCAAAGTCCTGCATTGTCCTGCTCTCTTTGCTCCACGGTTTGAGTTGGTTGAGGAGAATAAAGGAGAACTGGAGAACTGTGACTCTGGAAACTTGTTTATTGGTATTCTGTTGCTGCTTTTTGCTGTTCTGCCTCTGCCCCTAAAATAAGGTGTAAAAGTGAAGGCAAATGTGGGTCAGAACTTCACTTTCCAGGACTTGACCGTCTATCCATCCTTTTGCATAAATCTTTGTGTCTCTGTTGGTGACATTATTTAACTGCTGTCTGGCCAAGGGCAGTCACATGTGTTGCTGCTGGAGGGTGTAGCTTGTTCTTTGTCAAATTATTAGACACTTAAATTATCTTCCATTCAAGGAGGGGCAGATGAAGGAGAAATCATGTGCATAAAGTCATAATGAAGGCTGGAAATTGTACAGTTGAATGCAAATGCAGAAGAATGAAATTAAGATCCAGATCAGAACTGAAAATCTGGTTTTCTTGTTGTCTTTAATTCTAGACTCTTGTTATATAGTGCACTGTAGACAAAATTATGCTGTGGAGAGGGTAATTACATAATTAAAGCTTCTGCCTTGGTGCCCTTGGACTGAAGAATGAAAGGAACCAACTGGATTTTTTTTTCTGTTTCATGAATATTAAACTATGCAGGGAAAACATCCCTGCAAGCATCTCATGTTCTCATGTATTTCTGCTGCTTTTGGGTAACCCAGTTGAACACCCCAGTAGCTCTCAGGTGGCCTTTTAAGTCACTTGTCCCAGTCATTTACTGTCATGTTTTCTCCTGTGAGGATTTGGCCTGGGAGAAGGTGTGGAGAACCACAGCTTCAGTGTGCCTTTTCCTCGATGAATTTTGAGGGAATCCAGGTTTCTCTGTCGGTGGGGTGTGTCTGGAGGGGTGAGCAGTGGTGCTGGAGCTGCAGCTTTTAATGAAGAAAAACGGAGGTGTTTGTGCTTTGCATGTTCCTGCAGGGTCTGGAGCCTCTGAGCAGATGAGAGGTGGTGGGGCCGGAGGGACAGTGGGTTCATCCTTTCAGTTCCTTTTTAACAAAGGAAAACACATACACTGGCTGCTCCATTTGCAGCTGGAAAAATCAGTGTTTTTTTGGAGTTCAGTGGAAGATATGAGAACAAACCCATGGCCTCAGCTTTTCAAAAGCAGTGTCTGCAGTGAGATTTTTCCCTAATGAGTCTGATCATGCATGAGGCAGGAGGGGATCATGTTTGCTCCCTCACCACTCTGTTGTGGTTTGGTGAGTAGTTACAGCAGCAGCCAGAGCTACCCAGTGTTTTTGTTTAAAGCTGAATTTTCAGGTCTCTCTAAACCTTCTCTAAAGCCAGATGAACTTGAAAAAGAGCATGTTAGTTTGTGGCCTGCAATTGAATGTTACTTATAAATGGCTAAATCACCACATGAAGAGTTTCTAAGACGTGTATTTGCTCCTGGCATGTTTTTTAATCTGTTTTGTGTAGAGGGGAAACTCATGGGAGTTATTGACACAAAAGACATATATTGCGAGTCCCAACACACTTGAATTTAAAATTCAGGCTGGAATTTTCAGAGTGCAAGCTTTGAAATGTCATTTTAGGCCAAAAAACCCTGTTCTTTTGGAAGAAGGTTTAAAATCAAAGGACATCCTCAGAGATTCAGTTCTCTGGTGCAGGCAAGATTAGCTGTTGCTTAAGATAGATTTGTATTATTTGTATTATGTTTGTTTGTATGTGTTTCTAACTCAATGTATGTGAAAAGATTGCTGCTTCCTCCCTGCATGTTCCCACTGCCTCTGGCACAGCTGTTCCCAGGCCAGCATTCCCTGTCAACGGGCTGGGCAGTGTTGTGAGGGTTTGCAAGGTGGTACTGGCTTACACTGCCCATTTCCAGTCAATATAGTTCCCTACAGAGGTATATTCCACCTCTTGTCCAGATTTACAGACTCCTGTAAAACCACCTGAATGACGTTCATGGCTCTAATCTCCAGCTTTCTGGTTTTTTTTCAGTGAAAGAGGCTTATCTTTGCTTTCAGGCTGAACACGAGGGTCAGACTTTATTGTCATTCCCGAGATGTCCATCATTTCCACTCCAATCCTGTTGTCTGAATTCAGCTTAAGGGCTTAGCTTAGTCCCTGTGGTTTCCTAGAATGAAGAAAGCATTTAGCAAGCACGTTTGTGATTCTGTGTGACAAGCAGGAACAGGTTAGTAGGAAGCAAACAACCTGAGCAGAACTGAAGGAGGCTGTTATTGTGGAAATGTGCTGCTTGTAACAGCCCTTGCCCAGTACAGACATCTCTTCTTTTCCCTTGGAGAGGAGGATGGAAATTGGAGGTGAAAACAATGTGCCCAATTCATCTTTGCCCTTTGCAGCTCTGGCCTAGGGAGTTTTCCTTTGCCTTGGAGTAGATCTTCAAGAAACTCTTTTGACTTGAGGTACTGCTGCAGTGTTAAGAGCAGAGGGAGCAGAAGCTCAGTGGTGAAGTCTTTCAGATCTCCCCAAAAACGCTGTAGGGGATGATGCTCTGAAAGTACAAGTTAAGGAAGCCTTTGCAGTTGGGAATCAGCTGGTCCTCAGCCAGCCTGGGGACAGACAGGGAGCGTTGAGTCTTTCCCCTCCTGATCCAATTCCTGTGCAAGGGTGAATCTGGACCACTGCTTTCATTTGTGATACGTGGTAAATGCATTTATTTTGTTGCTGTTTTAGTCTCTGCACGACAGGGGTGGTTCGTTTGCACATCAACAACTGGCTGGAGGTGAGTTTCTGCCTCCCTCACAAAATCCACTATGTTGCCACCAACTTCATACCCCCAGAAGCAATCGAGAGGAGTCTGAAATCCATCAGGTGAGAGCAAGCTCTGCCCTTCAGGGTGTGGCCAGTCCTCCCTCAGTTCTGAGGGTGGTGCTGCAAACATCTGTGCTGGCACAGCTGGGGGATGGTGTGACTGGGCTGTACTGGTGGGGGGCCCTGGGCTGAGTGCTGAGAACAGGACTCCCTGAAGCTGCTGGATCCGTGGTGCTGTGAAGCCACAGCCTCTGTGTTCACATCAGCTGGTTGGACTGAGGTGATGCTGCAACAGAGGCCTGCACTGTTTGCAGGCAGAGGATCTGTGTGTTCATTTTAATCTGTGACCCAGAAGTAGCTCTGCTTTTAGAAGAAAGAGAGCCTGTCATACCTTATTTCCTGCATTCCGTGTTTGCAGCTCTTTATCCTGCAAAAGTAACTAAATCTTGCTTTTTTCCTTTCTTCTACTCCATTCTGTATTTCAGTAATGCAGATGAGCGGTTTTCAGACTAGTTCTTCATATCCTACCAGCACAGTGCAGTCTTTTTTCCCTTGTCACTGGGGTATCCAGTTACCATATAATCCTCTATCCCCTTTTTATAGGGAGCATCTTACCCTGTGACATAAAAATAAGGTCATTTTGAACCCAGTTAGAGCAAAAAGATGATACTAGAAGTTCTTTTTTTACCATTAGACTGACCCCAGGTATCGTGGTGTGGGAATAACTAAGCCTTCAGGACAAGCTGCAGTTTACTGTGCAAATGTATTCTATTTTTCTGCAGGCCTTACCATGCCTTATTACTTTTAAATGATGAGAAGTCGTTGCTTAATGAGCTCCCGTTGGACTGCTCTCCTGCCCTGGTGAGAGTAATTAAAACTACCTCTGCTGTGAAGAATTTGCAGCAACTGGCTCAAGATGCTGACTTGGCATTGCTGCAGGTACGGGGAGCTGTCAGAGCTGTGAAATGCCTTTAACTCACGAGCTGTTTTCTTGTGTGTGCCAGGGGGTTTGTGTGGGGCACGAGCACGTCGGCTCCCTCGCTGTGAGCAGAGTGCAGCAGCCTTGGAGCCTGGGGAGAGGCTGCAGAAGCAAAGGGCACAGCCCTGCAGCCACATCGGGGTGACAGCAGTGCCTGGGGGTCTCCGGTCCCCACCAGTGCTCAGAGCAAGTCCCTTTAAAACAGGCTGATCAGAAACTTGTCCGTTCAAGTTGTGAGTATGTCCAGGGCTACCTCCCACAGCCTCTCTGGTCCAGCGTTTGACCAGCAACTCTCCTCGTGTCTAATGGGAATTTCCTACTGTCCTCCATGTGTGTGTTGCCTCCAGTCCCATCCCTGTGCCCCTCTGAGGAGACTTACTCTGACTTCTCTGTGCCTTCCCACGCTCCCCAAACCAGAACAAATAATACTCTTGACTTGCAGCACAGTGGTTTGTCTGGGTTTTGCCACGTTGATGTCGACGTGCAAATGGAGGCACCCAAACTGCAAGTGAAAATTTACAGCTGCCATGGCCAAGTAGGTTGCTTCTCCAGGACCTGCCAAGATCTTTTCTACCAAAGATTTCTGAAGGCCTGTGCAGACCTACATATCAGTTTCCCTTAGTCCATGAGTGCACGGACTTTGCAGAGTCCCTGGAAGAAGCTCTAGATTAGGCTTGGGCAAAAATTTTGAGCCAGTTTTTGCAAGCCAGCAGCTCTTTCCAAATGCCTTTCCAGTATTGACAACCAGATCTCAAATCTGAATTGCTGGAGGTGATGTGATGAGCCCTTGGGAAGGCAAGTTTGTGCCAGTGGAGGGAATGACACTCTGGCACTCACACGAAACACAAGGCTGCTGAGAGACCCCTATGGATGACTGTGGTCATTGGGAATGAGATGTTCCATAAAAGAGAAGAGCCACTCCATGCTACGAGTCAGTTCAGACCCAGGGACACAATCTGTGTGACAGGGAGAAGAACACAGCTCATCATCACACGTGCTCCTGATCGTAGATCTGCACCAAGGGAAAGGTTGTGCTTTGTAATAAAATTCCAGCTCTGCCTGTAGTGGTCTGTGGTGTTACTTGGCATTATTTAGCTATGGGATGAATGAACTCTGGAAATTCCCTTCTGTTTCTGTAGTTTTGTTCTCCACAAAAAAGCACAGTTAAATGCATCTAATGATACAGGCTGGATTTGGTGTCTCATAGACACTATTCATGTGGCTTTTCCAGAGCCATTTGCAACCACTGACTTGTTTAACACATTAAAATACTTTGTGTAGTTCATTACTGAAATACCTCAGTGCAGTAAGAAGTTAGTGTTGGTTTCCTTTATGTTTGTGTCACAGCAGAGGCTGATTCTTTTGTTTCATTTTTCATGTATAACACTTAATGCATTTTGTGCATAAAGAAAAATAGTTTTTTGGGGCATGAAAAGTAACTAAACTTCTGTTGATACAGTTTGAAGAAATTCCTTTGAGGCAGGAAATACTAAGTTGCTCAGAAATATGAAGTGAATATCTGGAGCTTCATAACCCTGTCAAATGCTTTTTGATGTGCCACATGTTATATTAAACCACGAATTTATTCTGAAGGCAGGGTGAAAGGACAGAACGTTTTTCTTTCATTTCAGTTCAGACAAGGTTTTTCTGTCATTGTGTGGAACGTTTGCTGAGAGTTTGAATTGTGCTTTTTGCTCCCCTAATTTTTCCCTGTTTTCTCAACGCAGGTTTTCCAGCTTGCTGCACATCTCGTTTACTGGGGAAAAGCAATTATTATTTATCCTCTTTGTGAAAACAATGTCTACATGCTCTCTCCAAATGCCAGTGTCTGTCTGTAAGTAGATGAGTGTCTGTAGCAGCACAGTGGTGAGGAGTGCAGAGGCACCTTCCTCCTCTGACTGGACACAGAGTGGGATCTTTCTTCATGTATGAATTTGCTGAGACTCTGCAACACACAAACCATTACCTGTGCCTGAACTTGCACAGCCAGTGTGGGCAGGCAGGAGCAGCAGAGCAGATCAATATGCTCCTGTGGTACTGTGGGCCCTGGGAGCATTATTTACCCTGTGAAGCTGCTGTTGGTATTTTTAGTACTCTTGCTCACTGAATGTCCATATCAGGAAGGCTGTGTGGACCTGGAGCAAGAGGGAAGCATTTACAAAACAAAATGGTTCATGATGAAGTTAAGTGGGTGTTTTATAGGACTGTCTGTGTGTCTGGCACACAGCATCACCTGAATGGAATCAGATCAAGTCAGTGTTGCCATCACTATTGTATTGTGTCATGTGTTGGCATTTTACACTGTGTGCCTTCTCACAGACAGAAGGCAACGTGGCCATTTGGAGAGCAGGCAGAGGCACAGAAAGAAAGATGTGGAGGCAGTGGTGGGTATTTTTGCTGTGCTGAAGATTGGCAACCCTTCCTGTGCTGGATTTTTAGACTCTGTGTTGGAACTCAGTTATAGGAAAATAGTTTTAAATCAAAACTTCTCTGATGGAAGTATAAAAATAGGGCTGGAAGGGACCTTGAGGTCATTCAGGAACAACTGTGCCTGTGTCATATATGGCAGTGCTGTTCTTGAAGACCTTTGGAGATGGAAATCTTAAAACAGTTTTCCTAATATTTAACTTGACTCTCCTTCACTTCTAATCAGTCATATTGCTTGTCCTGTCAGCAAAGGCAGGGGGAACAGCCACATCTGCAGCTGCAGTCTGCACATCCAGAGATTGTGTGTATATCCTGCCCATCCCTGCCTTCTCTGGACTGCCCAGTCCCTGTCCCTTTGACCAGAGACTGCGCAGGTCTGGACTTTTTATCACTTATATTTTCCTCCTCTGGATTCCCTCCACGCCTTGAATAATATCCTGGAGCTGAATATAAGTGCAAAAGCTTCTAGTTACTTCTGCAGGATGCAGTATGCCATGAACATCCTTAGGGTTTTCCTAGATCACAGAGGATATTTCATTTGGCAGTTGGCACTTCCGTGACGCGTAAATGGATAAATGTCACCCTGACCAGCACTGCAGGACTGATCTCTGCCTTTCCCTGTCTCCTGCAGTTACTCTCCGTTGGCAGAGGCGTTTTCCTGCCAGTTCCGTGGCCACAACCTGCCATCCATGCTCTCCAAGTTCTCCCTCCCCGTGTCCCTCTCGGAGTTCAAGAACCCGCTGGCGCCGCCCGTGCAGGAGGTGAGCGGGGCAGTGCACAACAGCTCCTTGTCCTCCTGCTCGTGAGAACAAGGAACGGTGCTGCTTCTGGAGGGCTTGGTCAGGAACCTCCTGTGGCAGGTTTAGAAGTTTCCAATTCCAACTTATGGTTTCTTGTTTCACGTCCCCGTGCCACAAAGCGGTGGGGATGTTCAAGGTGAACAAAACCAAAGCACGGCCCTAAAAAAATATCAGAATCTTTGTTTTCCTGGAGTGATGTAGTAGGGAAAACTGAAACTCCATTTGGTCTGTTGAGAACTATCATAAATTAGTAGGGCTTGAGTGCAAGTTTGTGGGTTCCTCACAATCACATTTAATTTTATTATATTCCATCTGCTCCAAGTTCACAATCTGGTTTTGAAAGCAAACTGCCTGTTCACTTAGTTTTGCTGTGAAACTGGGACTGCTGAAAGGCTGTTGGAGGAAGTAGACTCAGCGTGGAGTCAGCAGGAATCCATGTGTTACAGAATTAGGTTTTTAGTGTTCAGATTTGGGTTAATAATGTGTGGATTTGGGATTTGTGAGCTGTTTTGCTCACGCATGTCATGGCTTGTGGCACTTCTGGGAACTGGTGAAGTGCAAGAAAGAGCTCAATAATGTGAGGTCTCCTGGCTGACACTGTTCTGTTCCCAGATGAAGGGGCTCAGACCTCTGAGGAGAGCTCAGTGTGGCAGAGGAAGCACAGGCAGAGTTCTTTGGCTGATGTCTCTTGGTGTTGTTTCTGGCCTTCAGGCTTGGATGACCTGCTGGCTGCATGAATTCAGCCACTGCTCAGAGACAGGGAAGATTAACATCACTTGTGCACTTGGGCACAACTGGGAGGGAAGAATTTGTTGTAATTACAGGTTGGCAGAGATGATGATCAGAGATAAAGATAAGTCATGATGTAGGTCTAATCCCGACAGTATGTGCTGGTCAGCTGCCACCTTGGGAGGCAGGGGAAGAGCAGGACTTCACAGTAGGTACAGGCAAATCAGTGTCCTGAAAATTGAAGCTGAAATCATAGCATTAATTTTATTCTAGCTGCAGGAGACATTTTCAGTACTCCTTTCAAAATTAATTGCTTGCCCTAATACTTCTCCCTCAATACTTCTGGCTGTTTTCAGGCGTCCTACTTTTGTTTAAAATACACAAATAAAGGTCTGCCACTTACTGCTGCAGTTCTGCCTGGAAACAACAGTGTGATAAATGCTTGCCAGAGCTGATGGAGTGCTAATGTGGCTTTTTAGCTGCTCACCTGTCCGTGGTGGGGTCCTACAGGTCAGCAGCACAGCTGGCTTTCAGCATCCTTTCAGCCTGTGTGGAAGGATGAAGGATGATGCTGTGAAAAGCTACAGGCTGAAAAGGAGACTTGAGAGCCGTGGTTGCAGGAGGCTTGGGGCCACACTGGGAAGGGGGTGTGTGTTTGGAGATGGAGCCCACCAGGCACCAGTGGGCTGTTCAGAGCCATGGCAAGGGGCTTTTTGGTGAAGCAAAGTGTGACAGCTCTTGGGGTAGCTTAGATTGGAGAGAGTTTCTCGAGGTATTCATATCAGTACATTTTCTTCTACTTTGATTTACCCATGCAGGACTCTGTATTATTTTTTGTTAGGTACCAGCCTTTTAAGAGATGTGACTCCAATCCCTGTCCTGAAGTGATCAGGCTCCAATTGTAATTAACAGACATCCAGTCAATACAATTAATCTAATGAGATGTGAATAGGTTTTTGTTCCACTGTGCAGTGATAAAAAACTACACTCTGAACTGTAAATATTGTCAAATTTGCTTTGCCTTTGAAAAAAATTGACAAAGTTGGGACCTTTGCCTGTAGTTTTGTTCTCTGTGTGCACAGGAGGGGATGTGAGGTTTTTTAACTTTGAAGATTTTCAGCAGTTGCCTGTTATCTCGTGCTTTCCATCAGGCTGAGGGCACTGCCTGTGCTTCTGAAGGTCATTTGTGCTGGAAGGTCAGTACTGTGGGAGGGGGTGTATCTTCTGCAGACACTGTTATTGGTTTCATGGCATCCATCCCATTTGATTCTTGTCTTAAGCCCAGGATTTGCTCCCTCCTTTTGGCATCTGCTTCTGAGTGGGTAGAGAATACAGAAGGCATTAGTAGAGCCCTCCTTAAAAAAGGAGAGCTCTCAGAGCCCTTCCTCCTGTTTTTATACAAAAGTATTTGAAAGGGGACAAAGTTATTTTTGTTGGATTGCTGTTACATGGGTGGAATTTCTCCATTCCTTTGGGTGGATGAAAAAAATGTGACACTTGTTTTTATACTTGGGGTGCTGTGGTATTTTTTGGCTGGTTGGAGGTGCGAACGACCTGCAAGGACAGGACTGCCTTGAAAGGTGGAGTGCATGTCTACAATCTGCTTTTGGTGTCTGCCAGTCAAGTAGGTGGGAGATCTCCAGGGAGTGGTGTCTGCCAGCCCTGCCAGTGCTCCCAGCTGTGCCCTGTGCCAGAGACAGGAATCCTTGATCCTTGATCTCTTTTCTTGCCTGTGATGCTGAGCAGTGTATTGCAGTTGAACTCTGGTCGTTGTGTATCTCTCAGCTGAGAAGATTTTGGTATTCCTGCAGTGCTCTCTGCCTGCTGCCCTCTCTCTGTGTTCCCTGCTGTGCTGCAGCAGTGTGAGGTTGAGCCCACACCTACAATTCTGCTGATCTGCTGATATCTGGGTGCTGCTGAGTCCAGGCCCTGTTTTCCTTTCCCACTCCCAGGTGTGCACATACACACACCTTCCTCCTTCCTTCTTCCCTTTCCTACAGCTCTGGCTCCTGTCCAGCTTGACTCCATTCGTTTCACTTGTTTCAGCTGCACTAGTTTTCTGCCAGGTTAGCAGGTGGAACTCGCTCAGGGGAGGTCCATTGAGCTCCAGGGCTGGCACAGAGTGAGGGGGTGATTTCTGCAGACCCTGTGCAGCTGGGGGGGTGAGGGGAGCAGAAGCTGTTCTCCCCTTCTCACAGGGAGTTGTCTGTTGGCTCCACCAGGCTGTGCAGTGTCACCAGGACTCAGCAATCCAGTGCAGCCTGGGACTCTCCTGGACATCACCAGGGTGCAGCCATTGGGTAGGGGGATCCTGGGAGCTGATACAAAGGAGAACTCATGTTCCCTTTTAGTGTTTTTACTGGAAAAGAAGCAGTTTGGATCTCCTCTACCCTGACCCCAAAGAAACTGTCCCTGTTGTGCTGCCTGTGACTGCTGGTTCCTGTCCCCGTGGCACAGCCTTGATGTGAGCACAGAACACACTGGAGTGGAGCTCTGGGGGGGTTCAGAGGGCTGCACATCCCTTCAAAACCTCCTAGACCCAAAGCCTGGACAGGATCTGTACCAGGCACTGCCACTGGTGCATGAGAAGGCTTCATTTAACTGCTTTGCAGTGCAGTGCATTCTTTGCACAACGTCAAAGTTTTACACCCAGCTGCTCTGCATTGAGTTTCTTTGCAGACTAAGAGCAGGGAATGGTGCTTGTGGCTTCCCCTCATCTGGGCAGTAACCTCAGCTAGAGTATCTGCTTCAGGAGAAGCTGTAACATCTCCCTACCCTGCCTTCAACAAAGGTGGACCAGCAGGAGGGATCCTTCCACCACCAGGTCCAAGGAGTGTTCCTGGGTAAACCAGACATCTCATTTCCTCCCTGCATCCATAATACACGTTGTTACTGTTGTAGTTCTCTGATTCTCCCTTGATGGGACGTGGGTAACTGCAGGAAAAAACAGACGGGAAAGCACGACAGCTGCTGCTGAACTAAATCTGTTTAACTTTTCCCTGTTGTTTTAGTGAGTCTGGCCATCCTGCAGGGAGTCAGGCACTGGGGGATGAGGCCTCTGCCTTCTGCATCCGGAAAACGTGCCGTGCTTTGTGTGGGGCTCAGTGGAAAATGAGCTCGAGTGTCGGGGGATGGAGTGGGAGGGGAGCTGCCTGCACACTCTGAATAGGCAGCTGTGTCTTCAGAGAGCCACACTGCACATGGGACTGCTCTGCTGGGCATCTGGAAGGCATTAGGAGTCACGGGAGCTTTTTCTGGGAGAGGTAGAGAAGTGGTATTAAGATCCATTTATATTCAGTTGGACTGGGTATAAAGTCGGGGTTTAGCACAGTAAGTTAAAAAAATATGTTCTTGATAGGCCTAAATGGAGGGAATGTTTAAGCTGGGAATTTAGAGCTAATGATTAGACAGTAGATGTTTCATATTACATTAGTAGGAGTTTTCAGAGTCTGTTTTCAGTAAAATAAGGAGAAGCTCTAATAGCTGATCTGCCTTCCATAAAACAGTGTGGTTTGAATGCTAAAGAAACATATTTCAGCAAACATCCCTGCACCCTCTTGACTTGGAAGGTGCCATCCTACAAGGCAGCCCTTAGTTCTCAAGTTGGACCCTGAAGAGTGCATGTGTCAAATAACTGGATGATCCAGGCTGGAGAAAGGGGCTTGTGTGCTTCAGTAGGCAAAGCAAGCTGTGTGTTAACTGAGAGTGTCTCCTCACGTAGTGAGAAACAAGCTAGGATTGGATGCTCCTGGGTTGCTCTTTTCCCTTCCCTTTCCTGAACCTGTTGCTGCTCCCAGTTATCCTTAGCTTTTTAGCCCAGGGAAAGAAAACAGCCTTGAAGACTCCTTGCAGGAAATGTGTTTTATTTAACACATTTCTCAAGAGTTTTACAAGTGCTTCCCTTGGTTCCAGAGAGTAGAGAATAAGGAATGCTGGATCTTGTCCCTCCAGCAGTTGGGGCTGAGTTTTCCTCTGGCCCTCCCAAGCTGCCCAGCTGGGCTGACATGCAGTGCCCATGTTTTTGGGAGCCAGTGCAGCATCTCTGCCTGTGTCAGTCTGCACAAAGCAGGGCATTGTCCCAGTGCCTCCCGTGCTGCCTTGCACGGGCTCTCCCTGTGCCTGGGCCCTGCTGTGCCCTGGGATGGGAGATGCAGGGGATGGGATCAGCTGGGGCTGATCTGTGCCAGCAGGAACAGACCAGATGCTGTGGCAGACAGGACCCCTCAGAGCTGGGAAGAGGCAGCATGGGCAGATGGGAAGGATGAAAAGGGAACATGGATGAAATTTGGAGTGGGTTGGTAGTTAAATTAAGCAACAGAGAATGTTTTGCTTTGTATTTCCCTCACGGTCCTGGTGTTTCAGCCAGAAAAGGCTGGCTGTGGATTCCTGCTGTGCCAGAGGATAGCTGAGGGAGCACAGGCAGTCCTGGGATTGAAGTATACCCTGCCTGGGAAGCTACTCCCAGCCCTTTTGGCTTCAGCAAGGAGCCCAGCTCTGATCAAGTAGGCTGAGACCAGACACGAAGATAACCCTGTACTTCTGGGGGAGGAGGAGCTTTTCCAACAGCCAGCACAGCACAGATGGCTCGGGGAAGCCTCTGCTCCTGCAGACCTGTCTGTAAACTCCATCAGAGCCCAGGAGGAGCAGATGGAGAGTGGATGGAAATTCAGTGTTGGTGTCCAGAAGGCCATGCAGCAGAAGGTGTTAGCAAAGCCTCTGGTAGACCTTATCTGTGAAAACACTCTTGCTGGTGAGAAATGGGCTTAAACCCAGAAGAAGTGGGAGTGGTGTGAGGCACATCTGCAGTGGTGGCACAGAGCACACCATTTGGGCAGGGACCAGCTGCAGGACCCTGCAGCAGGACCCTGCAGCACTTGGGCTTTTTCTAGGACTGGATTTTAGGAGGTACCAAATGCCTGCTGAGGTTTGGCTTAGTGCAGATAACCATCATGGATCATCAGTCTCTCTGGTCTAGGGAGGATTTTTCAGGCTCACTTCAGTATGGAAGAAGTTTCCTCTAGTTCTGAAGTTGGTCACAGCCCATTTCCAGATGGCTGTCTAGATATTTCCACAAGAGCAGAGACATGAAGGTGCAGGATTAGAGAGTGTTGGATAAGACTTTCCATGCACTTGGAGCTGTAACTAAAGCAACTGGCTCTTTCTGTAACTCATGAAACCACCAAAGTGACCAGTGGAGGTGGGTCTGGGTCAGGCTTCTGCAGGTCTGGTAGAGCCTGTCTTACTGTCTCCTTGAGTTGCCTTGGATTTTTCCAGGGTTGTTTTGTGCTGTGAAATGTGCAGACCTCTTTCATTTGCTGATCAGACATTGCTGTGTGCCAGCAGGTTGGAAATTTAAGCAAAATAAATGAGACATCTTTCCATCCAGGCCTGCATCTGGAAGGAAGGTTTACAGCAACATAATCACTGGATAAACCTCCTCACTGTTCCAGGCTGACTTCAGATGTTAGCAAAGTACTATGTTTTTAGTGTCTTTTGCCAACCTTCCTCTCCTGTAGATTTTTCATTAAACATGTAAAATGAATTATGGCCTTTCCAAAAAATACATGTTTGAAGGCGATCCCAAATAATACATTTTGAGGTTAAAATCCATTGAGCCCCCAAAAGTGGTAATCCCAGAAAAGGCAGGGTGTGGGTCTGTCTGCAAACAAAAGAGGCTTCTTTTGTGATTTGATAGCAGAGGAGGAACTGAGAATTATAAGATTTATGGGAAAAGGAAAATTATGTGGGCTGATGAACTTGGGTTTGGGGCTTTTATTGAGATTTGGCCTGTTACCCTGATGATTAATGCAGCAGAGTGAGCTTCCTTCTCAGAGCCTGAGCTCATGCTGCATGTGTTTCTCCCACCAAAACACTGTTGGTTGCTATGAAATCCCCAAACAGCTTTGTCAGTGAATCAGTGTTCTCAGAGCCCTCAGCTACGGGGAGGGTTGCCTGCAGTGATATGAAAAGGCTTTTCATGCAGAAATCAGACACAACGATGCATTTTGAACGCCCCTCCCAAGCTCCTGGAAACAGGCCATGCCCAGATCCTACAGACACTTGCCCCTGGCTCTGCCCACTGCAGAGCAGCGCTTGGGGGACGTGGGGCAGCTGCTCTGACACAGGTGCTGGGTGTGTTTGATATGAGAGACATCTCTCAGTGCTTGTGAACCTCTTGCCTGCCTGCACCCTGAAACCCCAGGTGCCTTTATAAGCTTGGCCTGTGTTATTACAGCAGCAAGTGAGGGATACTGACCCTTTGCATTGAGAGGGGATTCCCTGGCAGCACAACCTGCTGGCCCTTGCCAAGGTTTCTGCTGCTGGTGGTGGTGCTGTTTCTGTATCTCCCAGCCCTGGCAGGCTCTGATCTCCAGAGCCTCTCCCATGGCTACTCAGCAGTTTCCCATCTCACAGCAAATGGCTCCTATTCCTGGGCACCTTTCCTGGTTTCTTCAGCTCTGCCCCATCCCCCTGTCCTCTCCCAGCTCTCTAGGGGAGCCTGCCCTTCACTCTGCCCATCTGGGACTGACTTTGGTGATTTATTTTAGTGGCTCTTGTGTAGAAACCAGCAAACCAGGGCAGGGCTGGTTCCTTAGAGGTCTCTGGCTGTGCTGGGCAGTGTTGCACAAAGACATGTTGAACATTAAAGGCTCCATTACAGCCTGAGCACCCACAGAGGCTCTGGGTGTGAGGAATGTTTGTGCCTGGCCACATTTTCATGATTGGAAAAGAGATAAACTCTCCTGTGGGGTGAAAAGCCTTTCTCATCGACTGGTTAGTCACAAAGTCTGACCTTTGTGTGTTGTTTTGCCCCTGTACTTCATTTCCTGGGTGTTTAATCCCCTGTTCCTCCCTGTGCAGACCCAGCTCATTCAGATGGTGATATGGATGCTGCAGCACAGGCTCCTGATCCAGCTCCACACCTACGTGTGCCTGATGGTGCCCCCGAACGAGGAGGATCTCCGGGCCCAGGATGAGGACATGCCCTTCACTGCCAGAGTTGGAGGCCGAAGTCTGAGCACCCCCAATGCTCTCAGCTTTGGTTCTCCAAGTATGAGCACACTTGTCTCTGCTGTTTCAGACTCCAGCTCACTCCTAGAGCTGCCCTGAGCCCTGCCAAGGGCCAGCAGGCCTTGATAACCAGACCACTCCTCTCAGTGGAGTCCTTGCTAATTAGGCCCAGCCTTTCTTCAGTTCACACTAACCACTGGTGAAAGTCCTAAGGACTAATAGACCTTGAATTCTTCTTTTTAAAAAGAAGCAATGCTTTGTAATTTGCCAAGTTCTCATTTGGTCATGTAAAAGATTTTTATGAGAGGTGCTTCCAGTTTTGCTTTTACAGCAGCTCTCAGCAGTAACCCCCGTGTTCCTCTGGCTGCACCACTGTTACTGCCCAAACTTTGGATTTCAGGAGAGAAAGGAAACTGAGAATTTGTTTCAAACACTGGTTTCTGTGGGCTATGGAGCCACCTGAGGAGACACAGAGCTGGCTCATTCTCACAAATGATTGATTTCTGTTTATGTCTCCTGACTTATTTAATCTCAGTGCCATTCTTCAGGGTGATTCCAGGAAAGCGTTTTTTCAAGAGCATGAGTCAGATGCAATGCTGAAATCCTCAAACTTTCCTGCCTGTGCTGCTCTGAGCAGTGTTCTCAGGTTGGGTATGGGGAGAGATCCTCTGTATGACTTTGAGCTTTACAGAAGTCATGACTTAGGGCAGAAATCTTGGAATGTGAGTCAGATGAGTCTGTGATCTGCTTCTTCTGGCTCGCTCACAAGAGGATATTGCTTCTTGGCCTCTCTGCCTGCTCCCACCTTCTGTGCTTGTTAGGCTTTTCATGTTACCACTTCACGGTATTCCAGCAGAGCTGGCTGGGAATTTTCTTGTCAGATGTTTTTTATGGACTGTTTATGGTCTCCAGAAGTAGAGTTTTCCACACAAATTGATGACTTTGTTGAAACATTTGAATTTCCCATTGAGAAAATCGCCGTGCTGTCATATGACTAATTGCAGATTCATGGGGCATTTGGAGAGCCACTTTCTCTGCTCCACAAATCCGAAGGGATTAGTTGGAAAGGCTGCATGGAAATAGCCTGAATTGGTAATCTTTGCATCATTATGCTGAGGAATATAAAGATTGTGTGTATCTCTGTCTCTCCCCCCAATAGCCAGTAGTGATGACATGACTCTGACAAGCCCTAGCATGGATAATTCCAGTGCTGAGTTGATACCTGGTGGGGACTCACCCCTGAATAAAAGGATGACGGAGAATCTCCTGGCCAGCTTGTTGGAACACGAGCGGGAAGCGATCCTGAACGTCCCTGCTGCCCAAAATCCTGAGGATCTTCGCATGTTTGCAAGGTGAGGAGTGAGAATGCAACTTTATTGGTGTGGACTGAGCCAATCCCATTAGCCTGGGGGTTTGGAGGATACATTCCTTTGGGTTTGTCCCCCTTGTATCTGTTTCATCTGTGCACAGCAGTTTTTGACAAACACTGATGCATGTGGCATAAGAACACTTGTTAACAGAGTCCTGGGTGTGTGAAGCAGCATCAGGGCCTGTGGCTGGACTTCACTGTTTGCCTGCCAGTTTTTCCTGTGTCCACATGTGGCAGGCACAAAACTGCACACCCTGACAAACCCTTCTGAGCAGGGAAAGTGAAGAAGACCCAGTGATGCTGATGCTGCCCTTTGGTGTCTGTTCATTTTAAGGGTTGTGAACTCCATGCAAATGTGAGACAAGGAGCGTGAGACACAGAGCCAGCCTTGAAACCTTTTGCAGAGCAGTCTGTGAACGTTTCAAGGTGTGTTTTGCAGCAGTGAGAGCTCCTTGTGTTAGGTTAATTAGGTTGAAGGCATTAGGGGGTGTGATTAGTAGCACACATTTTGTTGTTACGAATTTCCACACAACAATAACACACACGATGTGGTTCTGCACGTGGTGAGGGCAGAATGACTTCCTGAGCAGCCATCTGGGAAGAAGGGAGGGAGGGGAGGAAATGCTTTTTCTTCCTAAGGATTGCAAAACTCAGTGGCATCACTGGAATGCAACTTTCACTGGTTTTCATACTTGTGGGGCAGAAAACCACCCGAGGCAAGGGCTGCAGCTGTTCAATACTCCTGGATTCAGTTGGTAATCCCCTGGAAATCTGGTTCTCACCCTGGGGTGGATACAGTCAGGTAGCCCAGGGAAACTGCAACAGCAGGAAAATATTTCCCTTGTCTGCAGTAGAGTACAGCTCAGGGACTTTGACAGAGCTCTCAAAGCTTGTGGGTAGTTACAGCTCTCTGAATCACTTGTCTCCTTCATCTTCTGCGACTGTTCAGAGGATATTCTCTGACTGAGAGGCAACATTTTGGCCATTTGAGAACTCTGAAGTGGTTTTTCCCTGTTACCTGCTAAGTCATTACAAAACCAGTGAGAAAAGAAAGTAAAAACAACATCATATTTAATGATATCTTAAGACAGAATTTGTGGGGGACTCTTTGGAGCAGTTCAGTGCCAATGCAGATTCTTATTTATCCTAGGGAGAGGAGAGCATGTTGTGATTGCTCCCCTCTCACTTCCCTCATCTGGGTAAAGCAGCCATTTGAAAAAGCTTTGGAACTGCAGATGCAAAAAATGACTCTGATTCCTTTGTGAAAGCAGCTGCTGTGCCCAGGCAGCTCAGTGATGTGAATTGTGCAGTTTGCTCCTGCACCAGGTTCTTTTGCAGATCCCCAGGATGCCCTTGCTAGGTCTGAATTTCCAGTGTGCTCCAGCTTGAACTGACAAGTGCTCAGGGTGCTCTCTGGGGCAGTGAGGAAGGGAGGAGACACAATGAACAGATGGGTCCTGTGGGCTCACACAGAAATGTTCGTGAAAGACCCTCTTGGTTACCAGTGGCTGTATTAGACACCATAACTTGGAGGCTGTGGGTGTATTTTCTCTCTTTTTGTGCCATAAACCTCAGAAATGAGTGTCTGGGTAACTCTGTTGCTCTCAGTGAAAGGGTGCAGAGCTGTGGAGAAGCTGCAGTGAGGGAGCTGATCTCCCTCATAACCCTCCTGCAGGTGCTGCACCAGCCCTTCCTCTCTGAGTTCTGAGGACCAGCAGCCCAAGGGAGGCTGTGCCCTGGCAAACAGCTCTGCTGGCTCAGCTGCCTCCCAGAGCAGAGTTGGTGCCCTAAATATCCCGTGCCTGCCCTTCCAAGGGGAGCTGTGTGTGCACACCGAGGGATGGGCTGTTTCCAGCACAGCAGGGAACTTCAGCCCGGTACATCTTCCTGTGCTGACACCTCTGAGCCTGTTCCTCCTTACACAGACAGCACAAAGTGCTGCTGCCCGTCCAGGGCTGTGCACAGCCCCTCTTTGCAAGGCACAAACCTCAAGGGGAAACAAGGAATACTGGACTTGGCTCCAGCATTGGCTGCATTAACCCTCCTAACAGTGAATGGGAATTGAAATCCAAGTCCTTTCCTTGGGTGCAGCTGGAGGAGGGTTGGCATGTCCTTCCAGAACAAGCTTAAGAGGGAGAGAAGTTCCTTTTGAGCTAGATCTTGGGTAATGTACACAAAGCATTCCTCACTGCACGTAAAGCAGGGCTTTTGAAGAAGTCTGAGGCTTCACTCATGGCTTCTCTCCCAAGCCATGGGTGTGGAGTTGCTTTCAGGATTTATTTTTCTTGCTCTTAAATGGGGAGGTGAGATCCTTTACTCCACTTGGAATGTTCACTGGCAGCACCAAGCTGTGGACAGTTCTGCTCCATTTTCAGGCAGTGCTGTGGAAGGGACGTCTTGGCCAGAAATAAACTAATTCTGTTGGAGTGACTAGTCTGAGATAACTGTGGGGGTTTTTAGTGCTGTTACAGGTGCAGCTCTTGAGGAGGGGAGAGCAGTGATGAACCATGGAAAGCAATAATCTCCCATCACTGCATCTGACCACAGCAGACACGTCTGTGCACCTTCAGAGGGACTCAGATGCAGTGCCACTGCCCCAAGAAGTGCCATCATGTGCTCTTTGTGTCCTATAAATGTTCATTGCCCAAAAAGGTGAAGGTAGTGCCCATCTCCACTGGAGCTGTGAGCCCCAAGTACAGCTTTGTAGACTCCAGTTGGACTTTAGGTAAAAGTTCTTCCCTGGGAGGGTGGTGCAGCCCAGGACAGATTGCCCAAGCATATGGGGGGATCTCCATGTCTGAAGGGTTTGAGCTTGGCTGGAAAAAGCTGCAGCATTGGCAGGAGTCCTGCTGGAGCAGGATGCTGGACTGGGCTTTGGAGGTGTCTTCCAGACGAGATTTTTGTGATATTCTTTAATATCCTCCCTAGCTTTTATTGGAGTGGAAAGTATTTGATCTTGACCCATTACAGATCCAAACTTTCTGAATATAGGATGGATTTATTTGTTGGAAAGCTGCTCAGTCTGTGTTGCTGTGGAAAACCAGGCTGTGCCATTTGCACAGAACAGGCGAGCACATGGGGCTGGCACAGGGAGACAATACACAAAAATCACTTTGGGAACAGTGACACAAGTTATACAAAAATTTCTGTTGATGCCTCAGGGAACAGCCTGGTTTTGACACACAAGAAGCGACACTGCCCCTGGGAATGGCCACTTTTCAGCCTGAGCAGCAGAAGGCAGCCAGGCAAGTGTTGGTCCTGCTGGGAAAGCACAAGAGGCCCCATCCTGCTGCCATGTGAGAACAGACAGGAATGCTCTGGTGGATACTGGGTGTATTTTAGGGCTGTTGCTGCATGAGGGCTGCATGGATGGGTTGGAAAACAGATCATGTCATCTCCACTCAGCTTTACTGTCAGTTGGCATGAAGCTGCACACGGGTAATGGAACACGAGCTGGAGTGCAGAGTGTGATGTGTAACACATGTGGGTGCACATCTGTCTGTGGAGCTGGGGAGGGGTTCTGGCATTTGGGCCTCGATGGGTGGGAGTGACACGTGCAGGATGGCTCTGACATTTGGGAGGGTGGGACAAGAGACTGAGCAGCAAATTTGGGCTGTGATTGAGTGTGCAGGGCCGAGCTTATCTGATGGCTGTAGCATGTGGGTGATATCTGTGCTGTCTCTGTTTAAAGACAACTGGGAATTTAAGAAGCCAGCACAGTTTGAGCTTAGGCTTGAGAGTTCGAGGGCTTATAACTCCCAGAGCTTCTCTGTGGTGCCTGTCACCGAAATTTCCACCTCCCCATTGTGACTGCTCCACCCAGCCCAAGCTGCCCAAACCCTGAGTGAGTTTGGGTTTTGTAACCTGTAGTTACAAAGCCCCTTGGGCTGCTGTGAGGGAAAATTTCCTCTTAATTCCAAAAGCCAGTGTAGGTACCCAGGCCCCTGGTGCAGAGCTGTGACAAAGGGCACTGTAGGCCCAGCTGAGAGAGAGCAGAAGTAAATCTGCCACGTCCTGACTTCTCAAGGCTTGTTTGCACTTGTGCCTCTCCCCTTTCAGGAGGTATAACTATGTTGAAAGTTGCCAGTCTTGGGAAATGCCACAGGCTAGGAAACCTCTTGATCTAAGGAGGACCTTGGCAAAGCCCCTGCTTTTCCAGGGGATTTCTGTGCTGGGCATGATTTAATGGTATCATTATTTAATTCATGCAAATGAGGGACACAACCCAAACACCTTCTGATTTGCATCCCATGGGAGGGGACACCTTGGGGGTGGCAGGGTGGGCTGTAGGTGTGTGCAGGTGCTTTTGGCCCACGTGCCCCCCTTGCTCTGTCCCCACAGGCTCCTGCACTACTTCCGTGGGCGGCACCACCTGGAGGAGATCATGTACAACGAGAACATGCGGCGCTCGCAGCTGCTGATGCTCTTCGACAAGTTCCGCAGTGTCCTGGTGGTCACCAGCCACGAGGACCCCGTGATTTCAGTCTTTCAGTCCCTCCTGAAGTGACTCTGCTGGCACAGGAAGGGAACCTGCCTCGCTCTCCGTGTCTAAAAGATGCCTAAAAACTGAAGGAGGTGATTTCTCGCCACGTGGCACAGAGCAGGTTCTCCCCCTCCCCGATGTCCCCCCTGCTCCTGGTGACAGCCGAGGCCACTGTGCCGGGCTCTGGGCCTGCTGCAGGACAGCACGTGCCTGCCCAGCCAGGATTCCTGCTGTGCCACAACCACAGCCCTTCCCTGCCCCTGCTGCCCCCAGGGACTGTGAGAGAGGACAAGGACAGTTCCACTGTGGGGCTGCTGACAGAACGTCGCCTCTGGCTGGACGCTGGTGCATCGAAAGCGCTTCCTCTGCTCTCCAGCACGACTCCTGAGCCACTCAGCCATGTCCCCACAGCACAGCCTCTGCTCCAGGCACAGTGGAGCTGGCCTGGATTGCAGGGAAATGACCCTGGGCACCGAGGAGTTCTCTTTGATTGTTGTTACCTGAGGACATGGACAGGAAGGCAAAATATCACAAGTAAACAATTCCATGAATGAATGAGTGACTCGCTCACTGTGTCACAGCTCGTTCTTCCCTCACCCCAGTATCCTCTTCCCACGTGTCTGTTGGAGCAGGGCTGTCTCCAAGCAGCCTGTGTGCTCCTGGGTTTCCAGTTTCCATTTTTTTCTGGGGGTGGGAGCTGGGTTGTTGAGCAGGACTGAAATGAGTGGCCAAGCTGCAAGTTCACATGTTCCACACAGCCAGAGGCTGGTCCCAGGGGCACTCGGGCTTGTCCCCCAGGGCTTGTTGTGTCCTGCCATTCTCCTCACCCAAGAATGGCTGTGGATGCTGGGAACCAGACTGGGATCCTGGCCTGGGTTGAGACTATCCAGGGAAAAACGAGATCGGAGTCTGTGCTTCCTGGTCTGGTTTGGGATTGCTCCTCCAGCCATGCCAGGGCCTGAACAAGAGGTGACAGCCCTGGTCTTGGGGACAGCAGGACTCGTGTCAGCTCACCCTGGCCTTGTGAGGCCACTGTTCCCACAGCTGCTCCTGCTGCCTGCCCAGGGAAAGGCAGGGAGAACTTCACCTCCGTGGTGGCAGCCAGCAGGGCTTTGTTGTTAAAAGGCTGTCAGGCTCCTCCTGAAGTCCTTCCCTTCCCTCACACGCAGCAGCTGGAGTTTTTCCCAGGGCTGCTCTCGGGAGAGCCTCACTGGCCCACACAAACTGGGTGACACTGGGAGCTTTATCTCACTTACCTACCCAGCAGCAAAGCACTGGGGGAAGTCCAGCAGCTGGGAAAACAAACAGAACCCATTCTGGTCTCCAGGCTGGACACTATGGAAGGGTGTAGGTTGGAAGGGGTCTCTGGAAGTCTTTTGTGCAAACCTCTGCTCCAAGGAAAGGTGTCAGATCAGGTCACTCAGCAGCCTGTCCTGTGGAGGTGTGAACGTCCCACAGCTCCTCTGGGCCCCTGTTCCAGCGTTTGACCACCCTCATGGTGAACATTTTTTCCACACAGCTAATGAGAATTTCCTGTTTTCCCACTGATGCCCATTGCCTCTCATCCTGTCTGACAGCAGCCTGGCTCTCTCTTCTCTACACCCTCCCATGAGGCAGTTGCAGATAACAGTAAGATCCCTCCTTTGTCTCCTCTCCCAGCTCTCATCCCTTCAGTCTGCCCTGCTGCCATCCCATTTTCTGACTACTCCCCTCTGCTGGGGGCTGAGGCAGTGGGAGCAGCACAGCAGCTCAGAGCTGGGAACCTTCTCCACTCACCCACCCTAATTAAGCCTGGATCCATTGGTAAGGGAGAAAGTGTCCCTCAGTGTCCAAACCAACATCAGCTCTGGCTGGGAGGCCCAGTCAGCCCTGCAAATAAACTCCACCTTGCCCCACTCATTGTGACAAAGTACATTTATTGTTAAAAACCCCCAACCCCTGCATCTGCCACGACACAGCCTGAGGTCCTTGCACAGAGCACAGCTCAAGTCCTGGCTGGTGGCACCCTTGCAAGACTTGTCAGCTGCAAGACAAGTGTCCCCTTGCTGCCATCTCTCTCTCCATTTTCTTGTCTACAACACTCACGAATTTGTTCCCTCGTAAATAAAACCTGAGTGGTTTCTGTGCCCACTCCCCCCTGTTGCCAATGCCAATCCTTGTGGTGGCCACCACGTCCTGCTCCCCGGGCAGGTCCTGTCCAGGCACCATCCAGATGTCAGTGTCCTGAGTCAGGTCCCTCTGGTCAAAAGCCTTGTCGATGCCGAAGGCCTGGCAGAGCCTGGAGGGCCCGTTGCAGAGCTGCCAGTCCT